GGGCATTATTTTGCTTTTGGTCTCGGTCACACTCACTTTGACCTATATAATCTAGCCTTGATTTTGTACACAGATGGAATTTAAGAAATACATGACAGGAAACAACTTTTCTGTTTAGTGCAAATCCCCACCCAACACATGGGCATCTCAGACTCTCCTGTAGCCTTCGGGGACATAGCGCACTCATCTTCATGAAGGACATTGGTCTACAATCCTTTCTCACTGGGCCCTGTCTGCTCTCTCTGCCATGAATACCACACTGCTAGCCAGAAACCTGAAGTCTTGTATAGGACCCAGAGGCTTCTGCTAGGGACATCAGCAATGTCTCTCTGAGCAGACCCTTTGATATGGTGATGGGGGCATGGCTCTTTGGAGGTGGCTGGAACATTTCAAGAGCTGTTGTAGGGGTTGGAGAGATGGCTCAATGGTTAAGAGCACTGATGACTTTTCTGAGGGCTCAGATTCCATTTCCAGCACCCACATGCTGGCTCACAATCATCTGTAACTCCAGTCCCAGAGAATCTGATGCCCTCCTCTGGCCTCTGCAGGTACTAAGGGCACATGGTACACAAGCATGGAAAATACATAATATAAATAATATAAAAATACATATAAAATGAACAAATAAAATTTTAAATGTAAGTTTAGTAGAAGCTGGAGTGGCTGGTCACTGTGACCTCAAGAACTCTGCATCTGGTTCTTGGAGCTACTCACAGCACCTAGGCAGATTCTGGAAACTCTCCTGTCTATTTGCCTATTAATATTCCAAGTGGAGGGATTGGAGCAAGGGATCGTTCCCTTCCTTTTTGACGCCCCTGGGTTGGGTCTACCATCAAGGCTCTGTCTGAGTCTATCAGTCTTGTTGCCAGAAGGACCTGATGGTGCCTTCGCAAGCTTCTAGGAGCCAGCCCGACCACCCCTCCACCTCCATAAGAGCCTCCCATCAGAGCCCCGTGTGACGTGCTCACTCACAGGCATGGAACTCACTATCAACCACTGGGCTTACTAGCCACTACGGTTGTTTTGTCCATAAGGAAGTCACACAGGCCCTGCTTGTGCCTGCTGGAGTCTCTGTCATTATTTGATATACATCTATCCCTGTGAGACTGGAGCAAACTGCACAGGCTCCTCTGGCTGCCTCTGTCTGTTCAGTGTTCTGCATAGCATTTCTGGGACTTCCTTTTAGAATAGCTTGGAAGCTAACTAGCCAAGACTGGTTGACCTTTTAGCCCTCTATAGGGAACCAATGAGGCTGGGTACTGATAGTTAGATGCCAATTCTTGATGCCTGTCTTCTCAATACTCTGCATCCAGTTTTTGACAGGATGATGATGATGGTGGTGTGTGTGTGTGTGTGTGTGTGTGTGTGTGTGTGTGTGTGTGTGTGTGTGTGTGTAGAGATACCAGGGAACAGAGCCTTTAGAAATGAGATAGCCAAACCCAGACCCTACACCTCGCAAGGGCAGAGCAGGGCAGGAACTCAATCTAGGATGCTCCATTACTGAACTCAAAGTTCTACCCCATACTGCCCCTTGCCCTAAGCTTCCACACTCTTCCCATCACTTCTGCCTGTCCCCTCTCCCAGGCTCAGCCAGCAGAATCTTGAGCAGGCCCCTGCTAGGGCTCTTCTAAGCCACCCCATCTGGTCCTGCCTGAGGACTGGCGAGGACTACTGTATCTCTCCCTGTGTTCCCTGCACAGGACGAAGGAACAGAAAGGGGGCTCGGGAAGGAAGGTGCGCCCCCAGGGATCTGAGACTTAGGAGGGGTAGGCGGCTCCATGGGTGTCGCATCTGCTTGTGATTTTCCAGTTATTTTTAAGTCGGTGGTCGGGTTGTGAGAGCAGCATGTGTCTGGATGTGGCTCTGGACTCTTCCTCTTGCCTCCTTACCCCGCCTCCTCATCCCAAGCATCAGACAACTGCTGCTGGTGCTGCTGAGGCGGGCAGCCTCCCCCTCGCACTCTACAGCCTTGTCTCCCCCTCCTCGGGTGACTGTGACAGCCGGCCCACTGCCCCCCTCCCCGGCTCCATTTGGCAGCTCGAAAGGACTTTTAACAATGAAGAAAACATCATTGCATTTATCTGGTTAAAGCCCTCCAGTGGCTTTTCCTAGCACTTAGGATGATAGGCAAAGCCCCCTCCTTGGTCTTCAGGGCCTCAGCTGCCTCTCAGCCTCACTTCCTGAAGCATCAGTTCAGTTGTGTCCCCCTTCAGGAAGACTTCCCTGACCCTCTGGCTAGAGCAACCCCAGCCCTGCTCCTGCTGCCCTCCTCTCGTTAGATGTTAAGATTTCCGTTGCCTTCGGCTCTCTTAGGAAGTGTCTTGTTTGTTTCTCTGCTCAATATCTGGCTTCATGACAGTGCTAGACTCATCTGTCTCATGCCCTCCTGCATTGTCGCTACCCACACGGCACCTAGCACTTAGTATGTCCTCAGAAGCGTGCTGTGAATGAACAAATAATGCAGAAACAGATAAAGGCATGAGCAGATGATGAAGCTAGCTACATTGTGCGTGCGTGTGTGTGTGTGTGTGTGTGTGTGTGTGTGTGTGTGTGTGTGTTGTGAATCATCTGTCTTTTAACACAGGCTCGGGAAGCTCTGGCCTGAAGCTGTGCATGCATAGGAGGCTCACAGGTGTGGGGGTACGTTTGCTGCTTAGCCATGTGACGACTTTCACCTCTCAGGCCTCCATTATGCTTCACCTGTCTGACTGGAGGCCATGGCCTTTGAGGTCACCTATGCCAGCAACTACCTGATGCACTGTGGGGAGGGAGGGAGTTCACCTGGGCATTCTGCTGCTGAGTGTAGGCTCAGGCCAGGACACTGCTGGCAGAGCTGTCTGCATCTTCTTACTGGGAGACAGACTGCACCCACAGTCAAGGTCCCTAGATGCAGTAGTAGCTTCAATTGGATAACTTTTCATCCTTCTGTGTGTGTCCTTGTGTTTTCAAGAACTTTATTTTGATACATTTACATTTTGAATTTCTAGCTTTCAATTGCTGTATATTTTTCCATGAGATAAAACTGAGAAGACAAAAAAAAATCCCACTCTATCTCAATTCCACCATGCCAAGGCCGTGGTGGTTCTGGGCTTTTCCTGTGAAGACAGGGTTAAAATGTGGCACAAGTGTCTCTTGACCTTTTGTGGATGGCTTCCTCCCTGTTAAAGGAGCCACTCCTTCCTTTTTAATGCTATTATCATGGCAGGGGAGCCAGGTGGGGAGGTCCCTCCTTGAAGGAGGGAACCCAGGTTTCAGCTCCCACCTCTGCTGCTACTTGGAGTCAGAGCCACGTGTGGCTCCCTTAGACCTCAGCTGTCAGCTATAACGTGGGTCTGTGGTCTGGAAACACAAGCGCAGCCAGCAAGAATGAGCGGGCTCCACAGAGCCCTGCGTGCCCTGCCCCTGGCTCCCTTGTTCTCCTACCCATGATTGCCAGGGGACCATTGCTATATTGTGTTGGTTATTTTTATTGTCTGAGCACTATTCTGTTGAGCAGAGGAGCCGAGAGTCCCCTTGCTGTCTCGGTTGTAACATTTAAGTAGAGGCCAGCTTTGTTCCCGAAGGGTTTTTCCTCCAGAAACATTTTCTCCCAGGCAATCTCAAGGACACCTCTCAAGGCTGCTAGGTCAGGGGTCTGACAGGTAGGCAAGCAGTAGCTGCTTGGAAAGGAGGAGCCTTTCAAAGGGTAGCCGGGCGCACTGTCCTGGGGCAGCAGCATGGGGTTTAGGGCAGTGATGGGCAAGCCCAAGACCACCCGTGAGAAGAATGGTGGGCTCCTGGAAGAGCGAGGGTAGATCTGAGGGAGCCGGGTTATAGTTTTGCCTTTGCAAATTCTTTCCCTTCTCTGAACCTCAGATTTTCCGTTGACTGTGGCTCAGGTAGACAAGGGTTGATCTAGCTAGGCTGTCCAGTATGATAGCTACTAGTGACCTGTAAATTAAAATGTAAGTTAATTTAAATAAAATGAAGTGGGCCAGGGATATAGCTCTGTAACTAAAAGAGCTTGTTGTGAAACTGAGTATCTGAGTTTTGTCCCCAGAGGAGAGAATCCTCTCTCTCTCTCTCTCTCTCTCTCTCTCTCTCTCTCTCTCTCTCTCTCTCTCTCTCTCTCTCTCTCACACACACACACACACACACACACACCAATCAATAAGTTAGCTTCACTATCCACATATCTATATGTATGGGTTACTGATGACCACCACGTTGGACGTGACAGCACACATGCAGAACCTTGGTCTCAGGGCAGAAAACTATTGTTCATGCAGATCTGGAGGCACTTCCTGGGGGCCTAGTGATCCCCAATGAGCTATGACCCTATGATTCTGGGTCTCTGTCTCTAGAGATAGTGCCAGGACAAAATGGAACAGCTCTGAGCTCAAAGCCAGCATCCTTAAGTAGGGATGACTTGTCAAAGGCCAGCAGCTCTGGAAGGGTCTGTGTGTGGTCACTACACGCTCTCTCAGCCAGAGTCTCTGCTTGGAGAAGATGAGGCAGAAGCAGGGATCCTTGGGGTGGCCCCCAGTCAGGAATGGGTGAGTAGCATAGTGTAAAGGTACAGCCTGTGGTCTTCTGATTGCTCACACAGGAGGGTGTGAGGAGCCCTGACTCCTCACTGGGAAACCCTTGACTAGAGGCCCTCCTGCCACCTAGAGAACCTAGGAGCAGGAACAGGCTGCCAGGCTAAGGAAGCAAAGGCAAGCCGGGCTGATCTCACCTCGGATTATGCTGGTAGTTCAATATCACTGCCCCACTCCCAACCCCCTGACCCCTCTGTCCTTTTTTTTTTTTGTTTTTTTTTTTTGTTTTTGTTTTTATGAGACAGGGTTTCTCTGTATTGTTTTGGAGGCTATCGGTCCAGCCCAGCCTGAAACTCACAGAGATCCGCCTGCCTCTGCCTCCCGAGTGTTGGGATTAAAGGTGTGTGCCACCACAGCCAGGCTCCCCTCTGTCCTTTTTAAGACCCCCTACAGCTCACTCCTGTTTCTCCTCTTTTCTAGGGGTCCCAAGGCAATGTCCTGGCTGTCTTGAGTTTGTGGACTGCCCAGCCTCCTGCCCATCTCTTGGGGTCCTGACCAGCCTTAAGCTGATTCCTGTCCCCACCTGGTCTGAGGGCTCCTTGTGCTTCAGGACGCGGTCAAGCACTGCAATAGTTACGGTAGGTGGACCCCAATCACCCCTGCTCCCTAACTCTAGGGACACCTGAGTGGTCTTAGCCATGGAAGAGAAGGGACACTTTTTTGAATGTTCCTTATCAGAATTATAAGTCGGGGTTGGGGAAATCCTGTTTCAGTGAAATGAAATTATCAGCTCATGTAGCCAGTGTCTCGTGGTAGTGTGGGATTCAGGCAAAGCTTGATCCAGCAGATCCAACTTTGTAAAAGGACTCTGGCTTCTGACTGTGTCCTTTATGTTCCTTTCTTGGTGGTGGCTGTATTCTTAGTGGCATTTGACACAACCTAGGTCAATGTATTTCTAGATTTAAATCTGGGTTGAAGATTAACCCAGAAATTAAAGCTCTAGAATTGATCTCTTGGTACTCATTGGCAGGATTTGGACCATCCTGAGCCTTTAACTGGGTCCACGGGTCTTGACACTGCTGGTATAGGGGCCAGGATCTAACCTTTCCCAGTCAGGAAACCAGGACAGAGAGAAGGTCGTTTCTCAAAGAAACCTCAAAACCTTGCTACAGGAGATGGGAGACATTACAACTGAAAGAGACAAGTAACAAATGGTTATTGCAGACAGAATTTACCCCAAATGGACAGTCTGAAGCCAGACCAAATGGATATGAACATGCTGTGGGTCCTCAGACGAATCCCTATACCTCTTCTCTGAGTTTAGTTTCCTCATCTGGCAGGGCCACCAAGAGAGCCACCTGACATCTGGCATCCGGCAAGAGCTCAGGGTGTTCTTCCTATTTGGGGGATGTTGAAGACATCCATGTTTTCTTGAAACTTAGAAGGATCCACTGGGGAGCGTGTTAGTCAGAATCCCCACCAGCTGGGCTTGAGCCAAGGATTTGTATGCATGGGATCTTCAAAGGGCAGGGTCTCGGGAGAAGAGGGGGTTAAAAAGGGGGGTTGAGGCAGAAATGGGAGTCTATTGGGGCATGATCTTGGGTAAAGTCCAGCGGGTCCTGTAGCCTAGTTCAGAACCATGTCTGGGTAAGGAGCCAGGCTCCCGGCTCTGCATTAGTCAGCCATTAGCCATCCACAGGGCCCAGCATTGCTCAAGCCCATTTGAAGGGTATTTCTCTGGAGAAGGGGAGCAGTGAGCGGCTGCAGGCGTCTCTGGCCCCGGGAGACTGGGTGCTGTCCCCTCTGTCTGCCCAGCGGCTCTTCTCTTTCCTGTCCTTCCTATGTCTTCCCTTTGTTCTCCGCCCTCATCCACTTTTCTAGGGACACCTCAGGTTCCCTCTTTTCCAGGGGAACTCAGCTTGCTCTTCCAGTCAGTGGTTATCTCCAAGGGTTCATGTTCCATGTAGGAGGACAGAGATGCAGTGAGCATTTGCTCATAAACACTCCATCGGCTACTGTATCAGTGCCAAAGTCTATTGCTCTGTTTGCCTTGGCTGCTAGGGAGCTCATGGACAAGGTGTGGGGGTTTTTTCTACTAAGCCATCAGGAAACAAACATTCAATAAATCTGGTCCTGGCTTTGTCTTCACTCCTTTTACTCACTGTCCTGATGTATTATTTTTAAGCTGTGCTGCTGGCATTGCTCTCGGCAGCCTTGGACTCCAGGAAAGAGGTGGGGCAGAGATAACACCAGGGGCTGAATGTGAAGCCCTCTCCTGACTGCAGACAAGCGCCAGCCCCTGACCCTCCCCGAGGCAGCCTGGGAATAGGGCTCCCTGGCCCAGGTCCAGGCTAGTGTCCAGGAGACAGACACCAAAGCCTGACGGTGGGGGCCCTGTCCAGTGACCATCCTGCCCTCTGTGGCTTATGAAGAGCATTGTTCTGTTCCCAGATGTCTCCTCCCTCCCTGGCTTATCAGAAGCTAATGAAAGAGGCTGGAAACCTAATCCTCTGGTAATTAAATTTACTTAACGGGTATTCAAGTGCAGTAATGAGAAGTTTAATGCAGTGATTAGATTTTTCTTTAATTAATTAAAATGAGAGCTGTGTGTCTTGCCAGCAAGCCAACTTGACCCCGTGCTTAGGAGCAACGGGCAAGCAGTGGGGGACTTGGCTAAGTAAGTAGGGGCTCAAGGCGGTGGCATCCTCAGCCTTGGCACAGCTGCCCTCAGCAGTGATGTCTGTTCAGGCCAGTCACCCATTCAGTGCTTGTTTCTGAGCCGGGGGAGGGCCAGGTCTGAGCCCGAGGCCTTCGAGACCGGTTGTACCCACCTTCAAAGAGCAACACTGAGCCATGTGGTGATCAGACAAGAGAGTCAGCAAAGAGGGCTTAAAAAAAGCGGGCGTGTTTCTAGCACCTTGACAACAGAAGTGTTGCGGGTGGTACCTTCTGTATGTCCTGCCAGACCTGGGTTAGCGCCGAACCAGCTGTGCCGACAGAGGGAGTGGATTAATATGGAGGGGAGTGGATAAGGCTAAGTGGATTGGGGCTCAGAGTGGCCCTGGTGACCTGTAGAGCACTGTGCCTGGGCATCTGTTTCAGGAAGGCTGGTTCTCTTTGCTAAGTTTTCAGGAAAACGCTTCCCCCTGGAGCCACCTTTGCTGGGATCTGCCCATGGCTGGGGCACAGCACTCTGGGACTGCCGCCTTAATTGTGTGGAGTGGACATTGGATAGGCCTAGCCAGAGAAGAACAACTCAGAAAACACTGGTCAGGCCAGAGGTAGGGTGTTTTGCCGCTAAGCAGTGGGCAGCTGGTGAGGTGTCCCGAGGACAGGGGGTGCGGTGTCCCGAGGACTCGGGGTCTTCAGTGCGCTGGCTCCAGCCCCATGTGAGCCAGGCACTGGGCTGCATCTTCCAGCAGGGGAACGGGTGCTGGGGTGGGAGGACTGAGTGGCCCTGTTTGTCTGTCCCCACTGCCAGCTCTGCCGCCTGTGGGCAGGACTCCCGTGCCAGACCCTGCTCAGAATGGCCTAGATGAATCAGACATGGTCCCTGCCCACAGGGCTGGTGGGGGAAGTGAAAAAAAAAACTAACCAGGAACAACAGAGCTGAGTGATCAGAGCTGGGGTGGGGGCGGCCTTGGGGCTGGGGTGGTCCATGGATCTCTGTTTAAAGCTTTGGCTTGGAGCAGGTGGGAGGCCTGGAGGTGGGAGCAGCAAGGAGAGGAAGAGGAAGAGGAGGAAGGCACTCGTGAGAGCCTGGGGACCCCAGGAAAATGACTCTTCCTCAGAACTAGCTGTGACCCTCAGCTCCCAGCGTGCCAAGGTACTCCTGTGTGGGAGGGTTGGCGGCCTGCCTGGCATTGGGCTGATAGTGACACCTTTACTAAGAAGCCATGTGTGTTCCTTTCCTAGAAGACTTGGAGACAGGCAGGGTATTGTGTGGTGACGCTCATCTAGATGCTGCCAGGTCAGGCTGGTGTTGCTGGGCCTGTGACCACCAGGCCTGCACACTGGAGTACACTCACTCAGAGAGCACGGGGTCAGGTACCCTCTTCTTACCCGGAGGACACGAATGGGCACAGGAGGACACAGCAGGGCCTGGGAAGCCAGTTAGAGAGTCTGGGCCATCAGGCTCACATTCAGATCTTGGTCTTGGACCTGGGGAAGTGAGAGGAGCCTCAGTTATCTGACCACAGCTCAGAGCATGGCACTAGCCAGAGCTGAGGGGTCTTTTGTCCCCATCCTCTGTCTCCCAGATCCCACGCCCCTGCATCCTGTCATCTCTATTTCCCTCACCCATGCCCATCCCTGAACATTTAGGAGTACACAAGCCACCCATCTGAGAAAAGGGACTCTAAGAGAGGGTGCGCGGACCTGTTCAATATCACTGGCTTTGCTTCCAATGTCACACTAAGGGACAGAATCTGAGATCGTATTATTTTGAGTTCTCTCCCCAAAGATACAGTTCACATTTTCCCTGGGCACGTGCTTACCTGAGCTCGCTGTTCACAGCAGGCACCCCAGGGAGCAAGAGTATCCAAATGGTCCACCTGTCCTCAATTGTCTCTTTTAACCTTCTGCAGTCTGGGAAGCCAGGTCCATGGGTGCTAGAGTCAAGGCTAGGCTGAGTTCAGATCCTCCATCAAGACACTCTCTCTCTTCTCAGAGTTCTTCTCCACCATCACCCCTCTCCAAGGGTCCCGAGACCTGTCATATCCCAATGGCTGCCATCCTGACTATGCTCCAGCCAGGATCAGGGCTCTTCCCTGAGATCTTGCATGCCTGTCCTCTCAGCCAGCCCTGGCTCTGGTGTTCCAGCTCTGAGAGTGCCTCTCCCCATCCTTGCACACACACACCCAGCAGCCTTCCACACTGGCCCAGATGCCTCTCTGGGGTCCCTGACTGCAGGCACAGCATCAGGCGCCTCCCTTGGGCACCATCTCGAAGCTGTTGCCTGCGCACCTCTTTGGCACTCTCTTCTGACACAGCAGCCACGTGAGGAGTGGGGGTATATCATCTGTCACTGCTCTCCTAGCCAAGTGGTCCCCTGAGCCTGCCGCACAGTAGGTACACAAGAAGTAGCTGAGGTTCCTTCATACCCACCCTCCCCTCTTTTGTGTCCACAGCTTCTCCTCTGTCCTGGCTCAGTGAGTCCCTCCTAGTGGGCATGTTACAGGGTTCAACTCCAGAGCCTTCTAGGGTGGCTTCAGTAAACTTCCTTGCGCGTCCTCCCACCACACCCAGCTGTGGGGAAGGATCAGGACAAATGGGGCTCTCAGCCAAACCTTCAGGCACAGCAGACTCAGAACCAGGGATCCCTTGCCTGGGCTGCTGAGAAAGGTGGAAAGCTACCCAGGGCAGTGTCTGGGTTCCTTTACCTGTTTTCCTGGCTGTGTGACCATGGGCAGATCCTGCGTCCTCTCTGTGCTTGGGTTTCTTCTTCTATGAAAGAGGCAATGACAGGCCTGTTGCGGATGGTTCCACCACGGAGGGGTGAGTCAGTACAGCGACAGGCCTGCCATGCACCCAGGTCACCCATGACCTCCACCCACTGCTACTGTGGCAATGGTCTGATGAAGACCTTTGGGGGTCCATACAGGAGGGACTTCAGAAGATGGGGTGTAGGGGCAGCAGT